ACTACACGGTAGAATTTTTTTTTTAATTCAAGTATATTATAGCATTTTATATTTTCTAAAATATATCCAAAACTTAGAAAGTGCACAAAAATATAAATCATAGAAAAACATCGGCAAATTTGGATGACTCAAATCCGCGTAATATAATCTTATATAATTAAGTTGAGAATTTCAAGTCATTGCTAAACAAAAGCCTGTAAATAAAAAACCACACGGTAGAATTTTTTTAAACTTGGCCATATTGTAGATATTCTTATTGTCTATAACATATCTAAAATCTGGAGGTGGCACAAAAAAATAAGTTGTAGAAAATTATCGACAAAGTCGGATGACACGAATGCGCGTAATATGATCTTATATAATTAAGTTGAGAATTTCAAGTCATTGCTAAACAAAGGCCTGTAGATAAAAAACTACGCGGTAGAATTTTTTAAATACATCCAAAATCTAGAGAGTGAACAAAAAATTATTAATACAATTCACTTTTTACTAAATTGTTTAAAAGTAGTAAACTGTGTTTGGTTGTTAGTACCAAATTAATTATGCAGTGACGTAACAGTGCTGGTTATTTTTCTTGAAAATTTGTTCTAGTTGCTCATCGCTTTAATTTTTTCAAAATTTAGTGAATCAAGTGAAGTAAATGACTTGTTTTTGGAGTAGTCGTGACCAAATATTACTTTAATCCCAGGGGCGGATCTAGGCCATGGCGAAAGTGGCTTGAGCCACGGTCAGAATTTTACCACTTTAGTTTTTCCAGGATTGACTTTTCATGATTAAAAATTTTGCTCAAATACAGCAAAATTCGATCAAAAGCAAAATTGAATGAATTTTGTAATTTTTTGTCAAAAATTTGTGTTAACAGAACAAAAACTTCAAATTAAACGTCTTGTTAAAATAGTATTATCATCCAGTTAAACTCTGAACTGTAAAATCACCGAAAGCGTCTCGAATCTTGCCGAATACGCCATGAATATGCTCGGAATATGTGGAATATGTTCGTAAATTCCAACCTGCAATCTAGGCCGTATTCTATGGTGGATTATTGTTCAGGTTGAGTTGCAGAAATTCATGACTAAGTAAAAACAACATAGATGTACTAATATGTACTCACTTAATATAAATCTGCCTGTTTACACCCCGAAAACTTGCAATCAAGAGAGCTAGAGCCATCAAAAATTCGACATTTATTTTCTATATCCGCCATATTGTTTTGTGTGAAATTCGCTGAATTTGCTGGCTCATAGTCAAAAAACGGTGCTAAATAATGATTAAGGATCAATCTATCTAAGTTAATTTGAAATGATATGTTTAGCTATTAATCTTCCATAGCTGCTTGATGGACAAAAAGACTAAAAAATGAAAAAACAATTCTTGAAATTGAATTGCGAAAGAGTCCTTCATCTTTTTGTGTAAATAATATAACGATAATAAATTGGCACATGAGATTGCGTTCTCAGAAGCCTTTGGTCACCATCTAGCTCCTGCTGTACACACTGCTGAGCAGTGCATTCTTAATAGAACATTTCATTGAAATCGTTTATGAAGTTTTCATGTGTATCGTCGGTATCATCGTAATCGCTATCATCACACTCATCCGGCTTTTTTATTGGGACGTCATCTTCAGAGGCGTAGTTACTGCAGTCAGAACAACCGCAAATGTCAGTACATTGCAAACCAGACTTCACACACGAGCATCGAAGATTCTTCCAAGTTGCAACCAGCTTTACACTTGCATGTCACGCACTCAATAAGTGTATCTGGAGCAGAAGGTCCTGTCATTCAAAGAATCTCTAACTGACCATTTTTCATGTGCCATCCATGGCTAACAGAAGGTTGAACATTAATGTGCGATTGCAAACTTATCTTTAAGAACATTCGTGTAATAGATTCCATGATTTTCTATGATTGCTTTCTTGATAAATTTGCAAAAATCTACGAATGACTCTTCATATAAGTATTTGCGACCAGAACTACATTCATTTAACTTTTTTGCACAGGTAGTATTATAAAGAAATGACGTGTAGCTTTTGTAGCATTTACTATGATACTTTACTTCCAGTGCATTACATTCCTTGTCTAATATGTGGACCAGTATTCTTCGGTCCTCTTTCCTTGTTGCAGCTTCACGTAGTTTTCCGCCATCTTTCGTTTCTGCGGTCCTCTTTCTTTGTTGCAGCTTCACGTAGTTTTCCGCCATCTTTCGTTTCTGCGGTAACTAGTTTGTCTAGAACTCGTTTTCTAGTTTCCTGAAAGAAAAATTGTAATTGCACATTCCTCACCATCAGTAAGACAACAAAAGTAAAATCATATTGTAGGTAGATTAAGTACAGAACATTACGCTGTTACAAAACAGGTATTGGAATACCTGTAAAATGTTGGTTTATTTGTTACATTATATACCGATTGAGTGACGAAGGACTTTTCTTGCTTGCATATTATGCATATTGATGGTAAAACTGCTTTAGTTCTGATCGGAGGTTTAGAACTGTCATGACAAAACGAGGATGATCGTAGCAGTTTCGTGTGAGTCTCATTTACATCTGTCGACTTATTTTCTTGTATATAGTTTTCATTGACAGTGGCTGCTGAAGCTTCAAACTTTTTGCTCATTCTTTTTTCAGCCCGTCTAATCGGGCCGACACTGGTGAACTTTGCATAGCAATTTCTATTGTACTTTAACTCTCCACGGTACTCAGCCAAAGGACTTTTCATGGACTGAATTGTTTTCATCAAATTTTTGTTCTTTTCAGCGATGTCATTCTGCTCACCATTGTATAGTAACCAAAGCTCATGCCAATTTAAAACTTTTTTCAAAGATGTCTCGGTAAAATCAGTCAATGGCCCATTTTCACCTTTAAAATGGATTACACATCCCCGCAAGCTCACCTTTTTGTTGTTTTGATCATTGTGCAAGTTACGTGCGTGGTCCCGAAAGAATAACTATTAATTTTAGTTCTATTTCCACACGCAACAAAAATAGTGTGAACCAGTTACATTTATCAAACAATTTATTAATTAACGCGTAAATATTAAAGTAGATAAGTGTCTTAATAATAATATCAATAAGAGTAAAACTTATCTCCTCTGTCTGAGTACAACCGTGAGTCTTTATTCTTGAGCGTTCGTGAGTCCAACAATGACTCACAATAGTTTTCCAAATTGATTAAAGGCACAAAAGCCAAAAGATAGTTATGGCACAAAAGCCAAGATAGTTGTCTGGTAGATTGTAGCTTGTCAACCTACTTCGGTAGGCTATGCCTCCTAAGTTTGTCTCCTCGTAGCTTGTGCTCGTAGGTTGTCCTCGTAGGTTGTACTCAGTGGTGTAAAATACTCATATATATATAATATCTAATGGGAAGTATTGTGGTTTTGTGACCTACATCCCATACGCTATACAGTATGTTACAGCAAGATATAGTTAACTACAATAACAACAAATGCGGTTGCGGTTCTAAAATATGTTTACGCATGTAAGCAAGCTTCTAGATAATGTCCTAATTAGTAATGACATTGCAAAATGGATTTTAATGTTAAAAAAAAATGTGTTAAAAAATGTGTTAAAATATGTAATGTGTTAAACGTGTTAATATGTGTTTTATATGTGTTAAATATGTGTTTTTATTTAATGTGTTAAATATGTTAAAATACAAAAATATGGAATGCTTAGTAATATAATATAATATAATAATAGTTTATAAATGATATTACATGATAGTAGTTGCTATCATGTAACAACATTTTGCTATAATGTGTTAAATATGTTAAAATAAAAAATATGGAATGCTTAGTAATATAATATAATATAATAATAAATGATATTACATGATAAATGATATTACATGATAATAGTTGCTATCATGTAACAGTGCACCCGCAATTTTTGCTATATTGTCAGCAGTTTCACAAATGAAACAAGATGGCGACAGGTAAAATTTTAAACGAATATTATGAAACTTTGGAGTGCTGAAACACCAAAGATTGCAATTTCAAGAGATGCAAACAACTTAAATCATATTCAGTCAGTAAAAATAAGTAGTTTTCTGTGATTTTTATGTAGTCATGAATTTCGGTATTTATAAATCATTTTTTAGCACATTTTCTTGATACAGAATACGGCCTAGTAGTATAACTGTCTAATGATTGAATGATCACTGATCATAAACTGAAAAGCCCCAAACATTTGTTTATGATAAAGTAAATAACAGTATGGCGCCTTGTGGCTACAGATTTTTTGTCCATTGAAATATATTTGCAGGAATGTAGGATTTCGCTGCCATATACGGTCACGATTCCCTAAGCACTAAAGAAATCATAGCTAAAAGTCCTTTGGCAACAACAATTTTAGAAGCATCAATCTGCTTACCATATTAACATAAATCGCATCACACACTTGCATAAATTGACTTTGATATATTACATTCATGCATACACTTCAGTTGTCCTTTACTTACGATTTTGGATGTATATTTCTGCTGATAAAACTCAAAACAATGTTGGCTTGCTTTTGAACATCAATGACTGAAATGTCGCTCGCGAGATCGTCTTTATATGAATTTGTGAAAGATTTCCATAAATTACATCTGATTGTAGTTTAGTTTCTATCATGCTTATAAAAATTACTATGAAACGATCAAACATTCAATTCAGACAGTGAGCTTGACTATGTTAGTTCAGTTGGCTATCAGTCGAAATCGGTCAAACCAATCACAGTTAGACAAAAATTTAAAAATCACCTGAAATGCTTGATATAACTTTGCTTCATATGAAAGCTTAGCTAATGATTAGCCTATTCGCCAAATTTGAAAGTCCAATGTTTTATATTTTATGAGATATGGTCTTCTGAATTCATGACATTAACGATTTCCGAAGGCCGAATTCAAATAGCGCGAGCGAATTTGAATTACCCAAGCTGGGGCGAGTTTGACGTAATAGTTGCCATTGCATGTTTTGCTCAGTGCAGCCAGTAGCAGTAAAATTAAATTTCGCCAATTTTCTTTTGTTGTTGCTGCTACTATTAATGCGTGTTTATCTCGATGTCTTCAACGGAGGAAGAAGTCGAATTTGACATCGAATATATTGCTACGGAGGTCCAGCCTTACATGTTTGAACCGCTAGCTAGTAGCAATAATGTTGAAACTGACGAAGATCTGTCTTCGTCGTCGTCAACGGACAGCTCATCTGACGAATATACTCACAGGATTGGAAATACAAACTGGTGCGTTGCTTTTTCATGATTAACATTTCAGATCGCGTCATAAAATTCTTTTCTTCATTTTAATGGCAGGTGTGAGTGTGGACACTGTGTGGCGATGACAACCGTCCGGGAAAGCATTTGTTGCCATGAAGAACCGAAGACAGACCCTAAAATTCATGGTGACCATTTATGCATCACAGAAGAACAAGAGTTTCACATGGCCTGCATCAACGAAACAGTCGTTAGAACAGCTATGGTTGTATTCGTTCACGATCACGGGGCAATACCAGACGCTCCAGAAACCGAGTCAGTTTCAGCTTTTTTGATATCTCCTCATATATCGACAATAATTTGCTTATGTTTGATTTTGTTTTGTTTCCCAGAACTTTGCGTTACACTGCCTATAGGCAATGGACAGCATGGATACATGGAAAGCTTGGCAAGAAATATCGACTTCCTATACCATCCTGTGCTGTTAAAGAAATAAGGAAAGCATTTCCTTCACCTTCTGGCATATATAAAGGCTTTGAATATGCACAGCATTTATAAATACCTGTGAGTGTTAGACTTCAGTTTAGTTAAGATTGAATCGTGAAGTATGTTGTTGCACTGCTGTTACTTTATCAACTTTTTCAACTCTACTAGTCAGTGGATCTGGTATTTTTTGTTGTCTTTCTGTTGCAATTGCTTGGTTTAAACTGGAATTAGCATGTCTGCACCTTATCACTTCCTCCATTAGTTGTTTCACATAGTCTGTAAAACAAGGGGAGAAGAATTAAACTGAGAAGTGCAAGAAATGTACCATCAGTAGAACAATTATTTGGCTTTTGAGTGCTAAAACTTGTCCTTACCATAAGTACTATCAATTTTAACACCTTTGATGACTCCACATGACTGTCTTGATTTGGGGTGAGACACTTTCCACATTAATTCCCCATTTTCTTTTGTATGCCTTTGTTTTTTACTTCCATTTTCATTGAAATGGAGAGCAGCAATCAGTAATCTAAAAATTTAATTTTACTTTTTAGTGTGCCACCTTGCAATCATTTTCAGTATGAAAACAACATTGTTTATTGTTTGTTTACCTAGCTTGCATTGCCTTGTAAAAGAAATGTGTATGCTTTGGTGCATATAGTATAACAACTCGATGAAAACCTTCAAGAGCTGATGTTTGTTTCTCATGGCTGAGCTTCCCAATATCTTTCATGAGATACCTGCTTTCAACAATCGATGCCAATTCAGTAAATGCTCTAGATCCTTGGAAAAAAGATAGAAAATTTTATGGTGCCCATTTATGTCATATGTTGACAAATAACACCACATTGTGGCATTGGCTGGCAATTGAAGTTTGTTGATAAAGAAAGTATCAATTACTGTAAATAACTATTATGTCTTATACCAGAGCATTTAGGATTAATTTGTACCTTTCTTTATCCATAAGCGAGGCTCAAGAGTACCATGCTCACATTTTGGAAATAATTCGCTATGACCATCATGAATGTTGCAAATGTGATTCAGCAATGATAGCCATTTAGCCTTAAGTAGTTTCTCATCACCACCACTACTTGCAGCACACCAGTAGACATGGTTAGATATTGACTGTGCCCAATCAAGTAGCAATCTACATCCACTCTTCTTACCGGCTGCCATTACCTTTTTTGATACCTGTAGAAAAAATAGACACTGTACATTGGTTAAAAAATTGTAATGCAAAACATAGCAATAATTGATCAAAATATCATGAAATTAAATGCAATTAGAAAAATTCTAAAACCTCTTAATCACTTGGTAATTTATGATTATAAAGATACTCTTTGATCAAATCAGGAAGTACTTTATTTTAAGACCCATTGCTGTACTTTGAGCAGCTTTTGTTAGCCTTAATTTTACCTTTTGCCACATGCCAAACATCAAAATAGTGCTTCACTCCTGGCTGTTGGGTTTTCATGTATTTTTTAACTTGGCAATGCCTGTCTGTGATAAGATGACTCACTTGAAGATTGTGTGACTGAATAAGCTTAAAAGATCTTTTCAGTTCTTCCAATTCCATTGCCCCTGAATTTGCAACTTCATTTGACTGTAATAGATATGTTAATGTAAGTAAAATCATACAGTGTTTGGGATATGTATGTCTGCAAGTATGCATGTATGTTGGTGTATATCATATGATTTAGTTACACACATTGTATTCATGTTGTATAAGTACATATTACGCATTTCCTAAAATGTGTTTGCATACAATACTGTTTTGAATACAATACTATAAACTAATGAATTGAGCTAGTTACCTGAACTAATTGTGTGTCTAGAATTTAATTGCTTTCTAAATCCATGCAGCTGTATGAGCAATATTTTGCACAATAGCCTGGTGAATCACATCGTCCATCACCCCCAATAACAACCTGCTTTCCCTGACGCTCTGTCATCATAATAGTCTGGTGCTTTTTCCAAACATTCAAAACACTTGGAATAAGATATCCACTTTGTATATAGTTGTAGCACCTTTCAGTAATGAACTGTACATTTGCTTGTTGAAAATATTGCAGGATTTTGGATGGGCTGTTACCACTAAATAGAATACTGGCAGATAGCAAGAGATTACCCAATGGCATCTGACTATGAGTAGGTTGACTATTCCAATTATTAAGAAAGCCACATGAGCATTTAGCGATGATGTTCACCATGCTTCCAATGTTTCTGGTTGATATCTTGCAGTGACCACCACAGTGTCGACACTGAGAGAACAACTTTCTTAGACAGCTGTCAAAAACTATGTATTTTTTTTGAGTAAACATCATTTTCCCTATAACATGGAAAATTACTTATTTTTTATATGAATGTTATCTTGCTCTGTAAAATACTTGAAATGAACTTATGTTTTGGGTTATCTTATTTCAAAATGATGCAGACTAACTTACTCGGCAATTGATGCTTCATCATCTGACGATTCAAATTCGCTGAAACTAAGATATTCATCTGCGGTACTGTTGTTTTCCGAAGTGCTTATTTCAGCATCTGATAGGAAATCATCATCATTGTCGTTTTCATCTACGGATAAACTACCTTCCGTTTGAGTGCTTCTTGCATTTGTCGTGATAATTTCGGTTTCTGTCCCTGTGCAACGGAATAACATAATTAAGGAAACACTTTTCAAAATGTTTATTTTCCGCTGAGTTCATGTAAAAAATTAACCTTGAGACGTCACTTGTGCATTCGTTTGAGTGCGTTTGCTTTTTGCTTCGACTGGGATTTTTATATCAGATTGACACTTTACATGTCTGCGTTTCTACATCATCAAGCAACAGTTTAGGCTTTTGCACAAAACAAAACTGCATTGCATTCCCTTACCACTTTGTCAGTTTGTGTTCCATTGTCACTTATGTTACATTTATCTCTTGAGTCCAGTTGTCCACTCAAAAAAAACGAACATGTTTTTGATGTATTTTCGTCCTCGTCAGGCTGCTCAATGTTTTCCACGGAGTTCTCAAGAGCTTCTTTTATTATCTGAATTGTATATGCGTTTTTTTAAAGTAATGCACTATTACTTAAAAACTGCTTGGCTACAAGACTTTACCTCTAATTTTCTGCGCTTTGCATACGCGTTTCTAGTTGCCTCCGGTTTCCGTTTATCACCAACTTTCGAAAACGAATAGTCGAAGATCGTTGGTATTGCGTCTTTCTTTAACCTTAACCTGGTTGGTCGCCATCCTAAAGATTTCAGGACTCCGCGGTTTTGGACAAAACAGCAGGCTTCAAAGTGTGCCGAAGAGAGCTTTGACCTTTTCGAAGGATTCCAATCTTTCCTTTTCAGTTTATCGACCCATGCTTGGCGTAAAGGATTTTTAGCGGGGAAACTGAAAAACCCAACTTTTTCCGCCTTAGATTGGTTCTTAGAAGAACTGTTTTTGCAGTTAAATGCCACACAGTAAACCATCTTAAAATAGCCGATCAAAATGTCAATGGCAACTATTACGTCACGCCGAGTACTTTCCGACGATAAACCGACGGAATATTTTTTACTTCTATTCAAAAAAACACAAATTCACACGTTGATATCTCTTAAAATAATCATGGGATTGTTTTCAAATTTTCTTTGAATAGTCTACGCAATATATACATTTTATATGTCAAATAAACAGAAATATGAATTTTGCATTTCAGGTGACCTTTAAACGAGCCAATTACACGATAGCAATTGGACTCCCTTACAGGTCCGGCCACCCCGCTTATCGTTTGAGATTATTCCAGATCGTCCACTGATCTGGCTATTGACCAATGAAATAAGCGTTTTCGGCGTTCATAGACTCCTTTATCAGTCGAACCAGTCAAGTCACCCCGCTTATCAGTCGGTTATTCCAGGTCAATTAAAATTCAACTGATCTGGTTAACAAAGAGATATTCATTGGATTAGTCATTAGTTTTCAATAACAAATAAAGTTGGATTTTATCACGAAGTAAATGCGATAATAAAGTAAGAATAATTAATGATTTTTAATTAATATGAATAGGTAATTTTTCAATTTCAAACATCAGTCGCGCGACGGATTTGACATACTCTAGATCCGCCCCTGAGTTCAACCCTAAAAAGCCATTAACTTTCCGGGGTTTGAGTATATCAAAGTTTTGTTGAGAATTGTAGGAATCATTCCCGTAACCTCTTGTTAGTGTGAGAGATCGTTTTCAGCTTTAAGGAGACTTTCGATTTTGTAGCCAGCCAAGGATTATCAATGCTAAGGTTTAAATGAAAGTTCACATATGAAAAGGAGAGCAGTATTTTGCTATCATAAATAGATATGTCGGTGTACTTTTATTGATAGAGAAATATACGGTGGGGTTATTAAAAGGGCAAAAATTAGACAGGGGGTGCCGTTAACTTAGAAAATTTTTTTCGAGGGAGAATGTCGATAAAGACTATATTTTTCATATTTTTTTGTGTCAGAGGTTGAAAACGAGAATCCTGTACCAAATATCAAGCAAATTTTAATTGTGATAAATTTATTCGAGCATTAATTATTATCACTTTAATGTGATAAATTTATTCGAGCATTCCATTTGCAAACATCACAATGATGCAGGTCGATACTTCATGTAAGTATTTTTATTCATAATTTCACGCTCCCGGTGGGGAGGTGGCTGTTCCTTCCCAAGAGCTTATTACCATAAACTATTATTTGTCTTCCGATCAGGCAGAATTTATAATATTAATAATTAAATATAGACATGGATTCATATTGCCTATAAGATTTTCCATACATCCATCATTCCGCGAAGAATTTAGCTATCAATTACTGTATAGGAAATACTTTACCATCTAAACTATTTTCCTTTTCCTCCTATAAACCCCACCCCAGTGCAAACGCTCTCCCCCCCCCGGCAGTGAAAAACACATCACAATCATGACCATCATATCATTCCATAGAAAAATCCACCCGTGCTATAGTTCATACGCGCATTTAAGTCCATATGAGTAATAGTGAGATGTTCACAGATCACTTCAGTAGTTCACAGATTCCATCCAAATTCCGGAAAATAACATACTATTGAAAATTTTGTTTTACGTTGAGAATAATTACAGCCAAATATTTGTATATCTTGGCAAAGTTCGGTGTTCGTTGATATTTAATGGTAAATTTTTTTATTGATATTTTTGCATTGATGTAAAAGATCCTGTTAGGAAGATTGTTTTCCTCTTGAACACAATACATATAAACCCATATATATAAGGATTTCTGGTTGTATTTCATAGTTGATACATCTTGACATAGAATGCACTGACTGACAACGTCAATCAAAACATGAACGACTTATTATAGAGAATGTAAACGGTCCATATAAATCATCCGTTTCCCAAAAAATTAATGCCATTTCCAACCACCCAATCTTTCTCCAAAAATGAACAAACAGTAAGTTCTTATTAATTGTATTCATACAAATTCTATTAGTTTACATCGAAGTTTTGAATACTTGGCTTTCATTTGAAAAATTGTTTTGATTTAATCACATTTTATATTACATACGTATGATCTTATTTTAATTACAAAAAATTTCTATGAGAATATCAAGTGTACGCTGCTTGAAATTTTGTGCAAAGTTATTCCAAAACAGGTGGCAGAAGTCTATTTTGAAATACTTGAATTTCTTTCTGAAATTCTTCACTAAATTAGAGAGCGAGGGAACTCTCTAGTTTAGTTAGAATATTGTAAATAATCTTTTATGTGCATGTTTTTGTGTTTTTGTGCATGTTTATGATCATCTGCAAACACCGAAGAATGAAAGTCGAAGATTTTGTCTTCTCGAAACATGCCTTCTTTAAATTCTAATATTTAGTCCAAAAATAAGCAATAAAAATTGGTTTAACTTACAGCAAAAAGCGTTGCTTGACAATGACAGGTTATAGCAATGTGGTTCTGAAAGAGATTAAAGCAAAGAAGATTTGATGAACGATACAAACAAATACATGCTCACATCTCTGTCATCCTCTTCTTGATCTTATCGTCCTCTACATCTGAAAAATACTGAGGAAAAAGTTG